AGTAGTATTTATGAATTAGATACATCTTCATCAGAAGAAAATTATGATGAAATAGTATATATGAATCAGGAAATACAACAATTAGAAATAGAAATAGAAACAACTGAAGAAGTTGAAGATTCTATAGAAGGTATTAATTAAGAAATTACTTTTGATATTAAAAAATATGCAGGAATCACTAAGAAAATATTAGATCTACAGGAAAATGATGTATTCCATCAAGGATTCTTAGTAATTTTACCAAGGGTAAATAAAACAATTGTTAGTATGAATTATAAAGAAATGTCTATTAATATAGAAGATACTATAGGAAAAGCAAGAATTCCTATAATCACAAAAGAATGGGTAAAAGAAAAACTATCTAAAATCCCAGAAAATGTAAGAAATAAATTAAAATGTATTGAATTAGGAGGAGTCCAGATAATGGTAAAAGGATTTTTTAGAGAAGGTATGAATATACCAATAGAAATATACTGTATGGACAATAGAATCTTATAAGATCCTATAGATGCTCTATTAGGAACAGTTGTAGGAAATTTAGTCTATCAGAAGATAATATTTACAGTAAAACCAAATTATGCAATATCATTAAGCGATGAAAATTTTGACCAAAGTTTCAATCTATACTATAGAATTGGTAACTTGAAAATGTTACGAAGAAGTAAGGCTGTTAGTATAAGCATAAAATCAATTTTTACTTTTAGTACTAGCCATCATAACAATTTAAGAAAAATAACTGATAATATTATCATACATAAAGATTTTGAGGAGTTAGCACAATATATACCTCCTAGGAAATACCAAGAACATGAAGTTACTATACCCGAACAAATAATGCTTGATTTCCATAAACAAGCTAGAGAAATTAACTCTGAAGGAAAATTAATAAGAAGAAATAGTGTCAGCCTAGAAGGAGATAATCTTATAGCAAGATTTCCCTCAAGACAAGATTCTAAGACAAGTAGACTTAAGAATCTAAGTATTGCTGAACCATCAAGTTCGCAATATTATATCAAGACAAGATATGTGAACCAAGAAGGATATAAGAAGAATTTTCTTGTCCTCATAGATACTAGAGCAGATAAGAGTCATGTAAATGCTAAATTTGTTAGTCATCTAACAGAATTTGAGATAACAGAACCATACATATTTAAAGATTATTTAGGAAATAATCTTGAAATCAGAAAATATGTTAAGTTTCCTCTTATACTTATAGGAGAGGATCAAAAAGAATATACTAAAGAAATAATTCTATACAAAGATGAATTATATGGAGTAGATCGTTCACCTATTCTACTGGGAATTAACTTTCTTGAGAAATATAGTCCTTACAAAATCTGCCAAGGATATTTAAAAATAACAGTTGAGGATAATCCAATTATCATTCCAAGAATAGATGAAAATATGAAATCATTGTTATCATGGAAAGAGTAATAAGTACTAATCCCATGAGCCCATATATTGAAATTACACTCAATATAAAAGATTACTGTAGAATTAAATTTCATGCTTACTTAGATACAGGAAGTACTATAAGCTTATGCTTACCAAATGTATTGCCATCTGAATATTGGAAATATAATTCAAAGAAAGTAGTAACTGCTACAACAGCAGGTGGAAATAAGGTAATATATAGCAAGTATGCTAGTCAAGTACCTTTTTTAATCTCTTTTAGAGAAGTATTTGTTGATACAATATATATGTCAACCACAATTGGATGTGATATTTTATTAGGACAAAATTTCCTATTAAAATATGCACCATTTACACAATATATTGATAAATATATGTTCACAACACCTTGTGCACATAGGATATTTACACCAAAAATAAATAAAGCTGTTACAATTGCATATAGAGAAATAAAACATCAGAGTTCCTCAACCCAGCGTGGTGGATATTGGAGTACAGAAAAATTTAAACCAGTTACAGTCTTAAAAATGACAACAGAAAATAGGATTGAAAAATTAAAAAAGGAAATTTCTGAAACATATTCTGAAAATCCATTAGAAAAATGGAATATTGATAAAGTAAAGGCAAAAATAGAATTAACCAATCCAGATACTATTGTTAGAGTTAAACCTATGAAATATAGTGTTGATGATCAAAAAGAATTTAAAAATCAGATAAAAGAATTGCTAGAAGCTAAATTAATTAGACCTAGTAAAAGCCCTCATAGTAGCCCAGCCTTTATGGTTAGAAAACATAGTGAAATAAAAAGAGGAAAATCCAGAATGGTAATAAATTATAAAAAATTAAATGAAGTAACCAAGTTTGATGGATATTACTTGCCGAATAAGGATACCCTTATTAAACAAGTACAAAACAAAAAGATATTTTCAAAATTTGACTGTAAGTCAGGGTTTTGGCAAATCATGCTTACAGAGGAAAGTAAATCACTAACTGCATTTAGTACCCCCAATCCTTTAGGACAATACGAATGGAATGTAATGCCATTTGGGTTGAAAAATGCACCACAGATATTCCAAAGAAGAATGGATGAGGTAATTAAACCAATTACTCATTTTTGTATTGCATATGTAGATGATTTACTTATTCATTCAGATAATATTGATAAACATATTGAGCATCTTGAAAAATTTTGTTATATCATGAAAAAACATGGTATTACACTCTCTCAAAAGAAAGCTGAGATAGTTAAAACAGAAATTGAATTTTTAGGATTATTTATAAAAGAGGAGAATTGCAGTTGCAATCTCATATTGGTGAAAAATTTCAAGAATTTCCTGAAAAAATCAAAGATAAAAAACAATTACAAAGTTTCCTTGGAATATTAAATTATGCTGAAAGATTCATTGAAAATTGTGCTAAATTGAAAAATTATTTTCTTCCAAAACTAAGAAAAAATATAATGTGGTCTTGGGAAGAAAAAGATTGTGAAAATATAAGGAAAGTTAAAGAAGAATTGAAGGTATTACCCAAACTTGTAATACCACAAGAAGAAGATTTCTTTATCTTGGAAACCGATGCTTCAGATTATTACTGGGGAGCAGTGTTAAAAGTTAAAAAGAATCATAAAGAATATAAATGCGAAAAAGATTGTTCTTGTCCTGAAATACTTGCAGGTTATACATCAGGAACATTCAAAGAAGTTGAAACAAGATATGAGACAAACAGAAAAGAACTCATTGCTGTGAAAAGAGGAGTTCAAAAATATGAAGATTATTTATTACCAAAGAAGTTCTTGATTAGAACTGATAATACTCAAGTTAAAGCATTTTTAAAAAATAATGTTGATCCATCTATTAATAATAGATATATTATTAGGATACAAATTTGGTTTTCATATTTCAAATTTGACATTGAATACATAAAAGGTAAAACTAACTTTCTTCCTGATTATCTTAGCAGGGATGGAGCTAGATCAACTAAGGACGAAAGTCCAGATACTTGAAATAAAAGTTTCCTATTTGGAAGCTC